TTTTTTTTACCATGGCGCTTTAAGTCTACAAGTTATTCACACAGGTAGAAATAAAACCTTATTGGATAGCGTTATTTTTATGGCTTTTTTCTATCCCCAGCTCTTACAAGGTCAGAAAGACGGCAAATGTTTTGAAAAGTTCCAAGAAGGAGAGCTTACCTTTCCACCTACTTACAAGTACAACCCTGGAACAGATCAGTGGGACACAGAAAGGTAGGTCACATGAAGCTACTCATGGAGTGCTTTTGGTTGGAGAACCAAAGCCTAAGAATTCGCAATGACCAATCAGATCAAAGATGGAGAACATCAAGAGCCAATGAGACCTCATATGATAGACATACAAATGACCTGAAGCCTGGGTTAGTTTGCATCTGATTGGTTGAGGAGGTGGCACTATTTTTCTAAACAAATAACAGAGCGTAGTTAAGTAGGGGCAGTAATGTTCTTTCCTGGACCACTTTTGACTCTCAGTTGAAAACTGCTCTTAAATCTGTTGTGATCCCGTTGCAGTGGAAAGTACCGCAAACCCGCCTGGACTGACCGAGTATTGTGGCTCGAATCTGAGGAGAGGAAAAACACTGTTACACTGGAGAGTTACGTTTCTTATCAGTCCTATCAAACAAGTGATCACAGACCTGTTGGAGCCTCGCTGGCCTTGAATCTTAATGTGAGTGGCTGCATATGAATGATATTAGAGCGCTGTGTGATATCGAAACTAATCGCAGGAGCCAATCAGGAAAAAGCATAGCGATACCAATGGCCTATCATTGCCCGTCATTAAACACACCCGGCTTAGAGCACTGGAAAACAGGGTGACTAAGGGCTCGTTTATATTTATTTGCATCTGATTGATTGAGAAAATAGTGCGATTTTCTAAACCAGTCGCAGGTTGCGATGAATTCAAACCAGTGCAGTCCCGGGTTGCATTTGACTCTCAAATGAAATTACGCTATCGATGTGTTATTTCGTTTGCTTTCGCACAGGACTCGATCTCTTCAATGGAGGATCCTATCTCGTGGAAGTTGGATCTCATGAGTCTTCCCTGGTATGGCAATGAGGTTGGTATTTGCTAAATTAATCATGCCAAAACCAAAGAACTGTGAGAGGTAGTGGTCCGCACATAATGGGTGGCCGCGCTCCAGATCCAGAGGACTGGATCTTATGAGTAACAAGGGCCAGTCATATATGCAGACTTCAGCTGAGCTTTAAACGAAAATTGAAAAAAAGCCTTGCATTTTAGCGTACGCCGAAACTCTGAATTTATGGTTTGTGTATGTTGCGTGCCTGTCACGTGTATGCTACAAAAAAATGAGGTCAACAATTGAAACATCATATTGCGTCCGTTTTTTTTTATTTTTTGTTTTTTTGTTTTTTTCCTCGTAGGATGGTTTGTGTGTATACGTGGTGAAGAACTACAAGACGTACAGCTGGGATTGGATTGGTCTCTACAGGGTTTGTACATATTTTATCGTTTATAGGCCTTTCCAAAAATATCATCCTGTTCTAAACCTTCATTCTTTGTGCTGATGGTTTTGTTGGTAACAGTAGAAGAGGTTTATGATCTTTATGTGATGATTTGATATGAGTTTTAAAAGCGATAAAAGGACCTTAAGATCTCGGCCTTTCCCCTTCTTGACACTACATACAACTGATTATAATCGTCGAAGCAAGTGATCTTCGCTGACTTTGCTGGAAGTTGAAGTTCTTTGCGGCTTTAACCTGAGTTCGTAAAGAAATCCATGTCGCCAGTAGACGCATTTAATTGCAAGAGCACAGCAAACTGGCTCGGTGAGAAGTTGCTCAGCTCTCAAACACCGAAAAGGGTTATTTCGCTCTAAGTAGTTTTCTTTTGCGGGCTGTACTGTTTCTTACGCCTTTGATGATCTTCCACAATCGCTGAATTTTTTTGATAAGTAAGTGGCAAATCGTGAAGCGAAGTACGAAATGAAAAAATTACTTTCTAAGTTGATCGGTAAGGTTGGGTGTAGATAGCGACGATATTAAAGTAATCGACCCCGTCTTTACTGAATAACAATGCAACTAATTGCTTCGAAAATTGTTCGTCGTAGGTTGGTTTTCAACATGTCTTTGATTACGAAATGTATGAGTGGGCCGTGGGGGACGGGGACGAGTACGGCGAGAACGGCTGCGCGGTGTTGTTCGACTGTCTGCCAGAGGAGGCTGGCCATTACGTCATGTGTTACTATAGCTACAAGTTGGACTGCATTATTTCCGTCAGTGAACCATTTGAGGTTAGACCCAATAGTTACTTCACTTTGTAATTACGTTCTCACAACGTTGCAAACATTTGTAGGCAAAGAAGGTGAAGGTAACTGATTAGATTTAGCTTTAGGGCGCAATTTAAATTAAATTGATGTTTTTAATGAGAATTGTATGGGCAACTTGTCTGGCTTATTACTGACTCCAGCGGCCCTCCCACTTACTGGAAGGCAAATTTTGAATTTTTTCATTCTTGAAACTTGAATCGTTGATGTGCAATGCCGTTGCAAGGTAGGTTGTAAGAGACGTTTTCCTGACTATGTTTCCCCGCTTAACTCCAAAAGAGACGGGTGAATTCGAAGGGCAATTCGACGTCTCCAGTGGTTTCTTTGGGGGAGGAGCCTGGGCTGCGATATTTGTTGAACAGCGGTTGGATATGGATCCCTAGCGCTCGATAGCTTCACTTTTACTTCAGACTACTTCCTCTCATTAGCAAATTCTCTAATCTTCTCCAGATTCTTCCACCCCGAGATGAAGACAAGGATCCAGTTGAGGTTCAAGTCGAGCAGCCCACTGAGGATGTGTAAGCAACAAGGATGACAACAGCTTTTGCCAGACACTGCACCGCTTCACAAACCGCACGAATGAGGAGATACTTTATGTAAATATTTTAGCACGGTACCTGAGCATATTTTTCCTAGCCGCCATTTTGAATGATGGGCGCTTTGCGTAACCTTGTCAGTGACGTGTCCTTGTTAATCGTATGGTGCGTTTAATGAGAAAAGAGAATCCAGAACTAGCTTCATGTAAGACTATGGAATCCTATATTAAGCTAGCACTGGCCTGAGACCCTTAATTGTCTTTCCATATATACTGTAAAATAAATCTTCGCTCACCGGACAACCTCTATCAAGTTAACGTGGACACCTAAAAAAAGGCTTTTGTAAAACGCTATTGTTACGTGAAACCTGTGGTGAGCGACAGCTGATGAGAGATTTGTGTTTCATTTTTAATGTATTGCAAAGAAGGACACAATTCTTTTCGTAAGTAAGGGTTATTTTTTTCCCTCTGCTGTTCAATGTCTAACTTTCTCAAAATTTCTGCCATAATTGTTTGTACTACGTTTATCTTCTTTCTGATAAAGAATTTGTCGTGAAGTAGAGCGAAGGGTATCTCTATAAACACGGCAGCAGTTGCCGGGGATGTCTCGGGATCTCGGAAAGTGTTCGCAAGCAGTCAGCCCTGAACTTTGTTTGGCCCTAGACTTCGCTAGGACTGTCCGATTACGACTCCGTGATTCAAAATGGCAGTGATCGAGAGTAGATCGAAGGAAAATTTTTTAGTTAGTTTAACTTAGTTTTATTAACGAGTCCTTTGTCTATACACAGTTTTTTTATTTATTATAACTTAAGCATCAAGGTCGTTATCTAATATAATGGATATCTGGAAACTTTTATGAAGATTTTACTAAAGTTATCGGTGAGGGTCGTATATGCTGTACATACGAATTTTTATTAAGCAACAGTTTTTTCGATCCCAGTGCTTTTATCCAAGACTGATTTTGAAATAATCGGTAAATTTAGATTATAACTCAATACATAGGCGAACCCGATGAAAATGCACATCACCACATGCTTGATTTAGTTTTGCTCCCAATTGGTGGGGAACGGAATGATTTTAAATTGCTCACAGTGGGTGAAAGAGGGCCCAATCTTCTGTCGAGTGTCGTTAAACGAAACCCCAAATAATAACCACAACCAATTGTGGCAAAGCTGGATATAGTAAGGAGTCTTTAAGTTTGGGAACTGAAAGTAAATGCTGTACAATGCGAGTAACTTAGGCAACGATTAGCTTTTATTTTGTATCTGATTGATTGATGAAGCGATACGAATCCCTTAACAGAATCCTATAACAGAGCGTGCGAGAGTTACACCAGCCTACTCCGGATTACCATCGACACTCAACTGAAATTGCCTTTCATTAGGCTAATAGTGAAATAATCCCTTGCTTCTCTTAACCTTCTTTAAAATTCAAGCCACGAAAGTCACTTTTGTATTTTTTAGCGTACGTACTGCGAGCATCCATTAGACTATGCAACTCAGCAGGAAATCGATAGGCGGTTGAGCCCATCAAAGAAATTTGTCAGAGAGCATTTCGATGGCTTGTCGAAAAACAAACATTGAAGCAATCTCATCAGCCAATGAGCGCTCAAAGTAAAACAGGGCAACTGCCTTAAGCGCTGGTACCTTCAGTATGATTGGTTCAGGGTAGAGGTTAGGAAAGAACCATGTAATCCTTGCTATCAGTCGACTTTTATTTACAAATTGCTCTGAATGAAGATGAAACGAAATATATCCCGTAATGCTGTTTAAGGTTGCACAAAGTAACATTAGTTTTGAAACAAATCCGATGGACAAATGATTTAGTGGTAAATATGAAACAAATCGTTAATAAAGTAGGTGAATATTTTAACATTATACTAAGTTAATATATGTGAAATCGACTCTGTTTAAGCTACGAAAATAAATATCAAAGCAGTGAAAGATTAGTCCTTTTATTCCGTTGATTGTGCGAAAATCTTTTAATTCACTTCCTAGTAGATGACTGGAATCTTCGAGATAGTGGCCTGTTTTTCCCCTGTTACGGTATAATCTTACCGACAGAAAAACGCTGCAATTCCACAAGCTAAACTACTTTATTAAACGGCGAGTGATGTTCTTAATAAGGAGCTAATCTTAGAGGTAATACAATACTTATCGTTAATAAAGTAATTAAGCCCATAAAGTCTATATCCCAGCTCACCACCGACACAATCTCACTGCTGTCTCTTAAGTCTCCTGAAACAAGCAATCTTCCGCAGTAACTCTCTCTCGGTATAGCTTTCACTCCTAATACATAAGCGAGTCTATATGTATAAATATATTCACAAAGTGTTCCGGAACATTTCAGACGCTTACACGAGAGCTATTTTAGTAATATTTCTTAATAAATACGATGAAATGTTCTGAAAGGTATGCAAGTGAGCATGACTTAGCAGTCTGGAAATTTCTGGAAGATTACATTTACAACAATTACTCATGACACCCCCCTCTCTTCTTACCCTCTCACTCAAAGGAGTGATCAACAGGTAACTTCTCCACACAACGTCAATACATTATCTTGCAAACAGATGATGAGAATCAACATGCATTTATCAGCTGGAACGTTGGTATCTTGACAAAATATCAAATTCTATCAACCATTAAACAAAAACATGCGTAGGAGCTAAAAAGGACAAGTGTATGAATCAGATGTTGCACTGAGAGCCAGATGGGTAATATCTTTGTATATACATGTTTAAGTGGACGTAAATTTTATCAATGAATTATTTCCATGAATTCTTTTATCTCTACAATGGCCATGCCCTCAAAAGCTGGTGAGTTGTCGCTCTCCTATACACAGTGCGGTCTACGACAGTGCGTAGTTGCTAAGCTATTAGCATTGCCCACATTTAATGGGCTTATTCTACTTTGTGAAACGAAACGAAACCAGGCGAGATATGACGAAACTAAAGGAATAATGCAGATATATTTTGTACTAGGGTAAAGATAGCTTTCACAAGGATTTTGGAGTAATCGTCTACTGATAAGAAGGATTTTTATTAATTTCACAAAATAGTAATTTTAGAAGAGTTACTATTTCGCGAAATCGACTATTTTCACCCCTGCGGTGACAACGTGACCTCTTTCATGTCACAAAAGTATATTTAAACATTAAAATTAAATATATCACCAAAAATTTTGGCCCCCTCTAATTTCTTAAACCGTATTAGAATATATCTCGCAAAACAGCAATTTTAGGAAAGATGGTATTTTATGAAATGGATTATTGGTCTTAAATTCCTACTTTGCGAAATGATTAAAAATCCTTCTTGTTAATTAACGATTACTCCAAAATCCTTGTTAAAGTTATCTTTACCTTATATTACAAAATATATCTGCATTATTCCTTCAGTTTTGTTATACCTCGCCTGGTTTCGTTTCGTTTCGAAAAATAGTGTAAGCCC